GTAGTAGTAGTAGTAGTCGTGGTGGTGGTGGTGGTAGTACAGCAAGCGGTAAAACGGTAAAACCATAAAACGGTAAAAGAATTTACTATTTTACCGTTTTACCGTTTTACTGATATTGACCGAGTAGAGGTTAATTTAAAAAGAAACTAACTCTTACCCTTTTACCGTTTTACCATTTTACCGTTTTACCCTGTGTCCGGACGCGGGGGGCTCCTTAAGCTCACGGCTCGCGGCTAGACAGCTTAGCGTATGTCGGAGGCCATATTGCTTCTAGGTTGGAGGCCATCGCTCTTAGGTTGGGGTTGGAGGCCATTCCTTCTAGGTTCTCCTTTCTGTTGAGGTGCGAAAGTCCCGCTGCGACGCCTCACAGCCGTCCAGCTATCGTCAGTGTGGCATGGCCGTGGAGGTGTCAGATAAGACGCTTCAAAACAGATTGTTTCGTTGCCTTTTCCGGTTTTCAACTTATTTCACCAAGACGTGTTTCTTTCGCTTTTGCTTGTACCCATGCTCCTCAGCACTGAACAGAGTGATATCCAAACATACTTTACGGCGCTACGGAAAGTCCGAGATCCAGCACAAAGGCATGTCCCAACAGGACATTGGTCGTTGGTGTTTTTGCTGAGCAGGATGCTGGCGTGTGCACTTGTGCCGTCCTCACACGAGAATCTCCAAAGAGATGTTTCGAGCTTTTGGACTTGTTAAGAGAAGCAACTTGTCTCGGATTGCAAATGGAATCGCTGGGCATTGGTCATGAGGTTTCACCTACGTGGTCCCATTCAACCTGAAGACGACACTGTACTTGGTGGGGATGCCACAGGGAAGACAGATGCAGATGCGACATGTTTATTTTTGGACATGCTTGAAAAGACTCCAGAACTGCAACGGGAAGATTCAAAAATGGCATGTATACCAGGCCATGCAGCCCAAATGAAAGCCTTGATCCTTGTCTTTGTCAGGATAAGCTGATGGCCTGGATGAAGCTGCCTGATTGGGCCCTAGGAAATGCAAAGGGTGTCACAGTGGGGCTCATTGTGTAGATAGATGCTGCAGTGGCTACACGTTTTCTATTTTAAATTTACAGACAGAAATGCGCAACCACTTTTATTTGGGCTTGACTAAAGTATATAGTCTACGGCATGCTCTAATTTGTTTGTCCAACATCAGTATTCGCTGGTGAACGAGATAGCGCCCCCACGTAAATGAGACACTTTTGTTTGATGACACTAAAGTAGTCTGAACGAGATACTGTGACACGACCTCCTACTAAAGTAGTCTAAACTAATAGTGCCCCCACATAATAGATAATGTATTCGAGTTTAGCAACACATTATTTTTTGCTTGGTTTTTCTTGGGAAAATCAGCGAACCTTCCAAGGCACGTGCCTTCATGTATGCCCAGATGCCCCTTGGCAGAGACCCGCAAAGCGCGGCTTCAGAGCTCGAGTAGGTGTCTTGTGGCTCAAGTTATGGATTCAGGAAATATTGGTCGGTTCCCATCGACAAGAACATGTTGCAGAACGATTTTTTCTACTGTGATGCTGAACAGGAGGACATTGAAGCTTGAAGTTAACTCAGAGTGGCAACAGCAACTCTAATTG